TATATATGTATAATACAAATATTTTTATTATATACTATATAATGAAAATTTATTTGTAATAGTTTGCAGTCTGCTGATTCTATAGTAAATTGCAATGAACGATATCTCACATAAAATACATAATGTATTACTAACATTAGTATAAACGATTTATGTCTTTTTTTCTAACCATCAAAGATTCTAAAGAGCTTCTCTCAACAAAATTCTTTCTTTCACACAACAAACGCGCACAAGAGATTAGATATAATTAAAAGATTAATCTGGTAAGATCATTTTTGGCTTACCTTTCTTCTCTGCTTCTCTCTCTATATTCACGATCTCTTTCACGTTCGCGCTCTCTTTCTCTGCTGCGTGATCGCTCTCTCGGATATGGTTCGCTGTAATAGCGTTCTCTGTCTCTATCACGGTCTCTTTCTCTCTCGCGATCGCGTTCTCGGTCACGTTCACGTTCCCGGTCTCTGCTACGCTCACGATATTCACGATCCCGACTTCTTGACCGTTCACGGCGTCTTCTATGACTACGTTCTCTGTCACGCGAACGTGAGCGTTCTGCAACAAAACAAGTTACTTGTGAGATAGATAATATGATTAATCGCACAGTTTTAAAATAAATTTGAAATAATATGTTTAGAGAAAATATTTTTTTACAATCTGATTTAATTCTCAAAATATAAAATAAATCCCTTTCTACATAAACTTTATTTTCCGCTATTCTTAAGACAGAAATTTACAAAATTATAATTCTGATGCTTTTCAAGATTAAGATTTCAAGAAATATTTTAAATATTTTTTAAATTTTGATGGAACAATTAAAATGGAACATGATACAAATCCACTCACCTCTACGTCCAGATCCATAGCTCTTGGTCTCAACACCGCGTAAAGTATCTTGAAGAGAACTGATCAAGATTTTGCATCTATCATCTGCAGCTACCTTGGATTGCTTTATCAATGAAATGGCTGTTACCAGAGTTTCTATGGCACTTGCATATTCGCCTGCCGCAGCGTCGGATACTGCCCGCGCAATAGCGGACGAGGATACTGTACGATTACGGCCCATTATCTCTTCAAATTCTTGTTCAGTGAGAGGTGGTGGACCTTCCGGACGATGATCAGGCCCGGGTGCTCCGTAAGGTGCCTATATAATACAAAAAAACAATGTAAAAAATTTTATTAAACATTTTAAATATTTTTCAAATAGAAATCTTATGAGTTCCTATATTCAAAATCCATAAAGTTCCCATATTCTAAATGTCAATTTTTTATAAATTAATAAACATCAAATTTGAATTTTTGAATTATAATTCTGAAAATGAATAATACATTGCATAGTGCAAATGTACGATATTCTTTAATAAATAATTAATTAGTCCTATCTTGTTTGGAATAAACAAATCAGCAAAAAAACTATCTAAAACGATAATTATTAAAATAATTAAAATTTGTTCAAAAAATTACTTATTAATTGACTTAAATACTTCAATTAAAATGTTTGAATGTAATACTTGTGCACTTGGTCCGTAACCATGTGGTGGTACATGTGGCGGTCCATGTGATTGTCCATGTGGCGGACCATGAGGTGGTCCATGAGGAGGACCATGGGGTGGCCCATGTGGTGGGCCATGAGGTGGACCGGGAGGTCCTGGAGGATGTTGACCAGGATGTTGATGAGGTGGCCCTTGCGGAAAGAATGCGGGATTTACATGAGGTGCCGGACCACCTGGCGGTCCTTGAGGAGGGCCCTGTGGCGGTCCGCCATGTCCTGGAGGTGGCCCCCCTGGACCTAATAATGCACTTGATTAATACTGGACATCTTTCATTGACAAATATAAACAATAAACATCGTGATTACAAAGATAATGGAAATAAATTCTAGTTCAAGGTCGAATAATGAATCATGTAATATTATCATGAATCATTAATGTTTTTTTTCATTGTTATTCTTTTCCATATGTATTGGATGTAGAAATATTTAGCAAAATTTGTTCAAGAATATGCGATATATAAATATGGTGCAATAAAACACATAGTCGTTTATTATTAATATTAAAGATATATAATGGTTTTCGATAATTTTCAGTTATGAAATGATCCTTTGAAACATCTTGCACCTCAATGCTTCTGCCAGATCAATTTCCCTCAATATCATGCATCTCCCACAATGTAGCGAACTAGATTGACTAATAAAATTTGTAACACTGAACGAGCATTCTAAATCTCTCACCACCCATAGAACCTGGAGGAGGTCCTCTCTGTGGTGGACCTTGGCCAGGCTGCGGCCCTTGCATATGTTGATGTTGAGGGAAACCTGGTGGTCCCTGAGGCCCATGATGCATTCCTATGCACATATCGAACATTCTCATCAGTAATACCGATCTGCTGTTAGCAGATCGAAAATAATATGGTACAATACTATTATTACTACTTTGATTTACTACTTTGATGCAGTTTCATTTGCAAGGTCCCACCACATCTTCGTTGTCTTTTTCTCTATTTACTCAATCATGCAAAAAAAAAAAAAAAAAAAAAA